CAGATATCAGCAAAGCGTGTTGGAAGCAGCTTATCCGCGCAACTTCTATCAAGTGCGGTGGCTGCCACGTCATTTCCGGTGACACGCCCAATCAGACTTCGAGATATCGACTGTAACCTTTCGGATTTCATCCGCGATCCGCACACGCTTTGTCGTGTTAAAGGCAAAGTTCGGGCTCAGACCCACCTAAGAAGCCCTTACCATGGCTAGAAGTGCTGGGCACGCAAGTGCAAAGGTAGCGCCACCTTTCTACATCGAAACGCGTCACTAGGACCCTAGGCGCCATGGACTTCTAACAGACTCCACCAAACTTAACATGGTCCGCCCACCGTTCGATATCTTGTCTGCGTCGCTGCGTTGATCTGCTATGCTCTCTCTTCTCGGACTTCTCTACCACTCTCCGCGCTCACATTATCTCTCATCTCCCTGCCTGTCTTTTGAACTTCTCCACAGCATAGAGCAAAATGCTCGTATTTCCTGTGTATTTCAGGATTTTCTTTCCTTTTTTCTCCACTGGCGGTCCACCTCCCATCCCTACTTTCACATTTGAGTGGAATCAACCCATCAATGTAATCCTGATTCTTGCCTTTAAATTCCACTGCACGAGCTCGCGAAGACTTGCCTCGTCCAGATCGCCGCGCGGCCCGCCGCGCAATTCGCGGCGTGCCAGCCCGGACGAGCCAAAAGTCCGTCGCTCAGATGGAGTACCATAGAGGCTTGGAAGGCGCTTGGAGAGCACGGAGGTGGCTCACCCGCTTCCTGAACAACGGTAACTGCGGAAGGAAGGATGCCGGATGCCTGGAGAACAAGTACTATCGTCCCCATCTTCAAGCAGAAGGGTGACGCGATGGACTGCTCCAACTACCGCGGATCAAGTTGACTGCGCATACCATGAAGTTGTACGAGCGACTGGTCGACTCGAAACTGCGGGAGCTGGTCCCGATCTCCCAGGAACAGTTCGGGTTCATGCCCGAAAGGTCTACAACGGATGCCATCTTCATCGCAAGGCAAGTGATGGAGAAGTATCGAGAAAAGCGCCGACCCTGCTACCTAGCCTTCCTCGACCTGGAGAAGGCGTTCGACCGGCTACCGCGAGCAGTACTATGGAGAGCGCTCAGGGAACGGAACGTGCCAGAACACCTGATCTCTCTGGTGAAGGACATGTACGATGGGGCTAAGGCAGCTATACGCACCCCACACGGCCTAACGAAGGAAGTGGACATCACGGTTGGGGTGCACCAAGGGTCAGCTCTGAGCCCGTTCCTCTTCCTCCTAACACTAGATGTCCTGGTGAAGGGGCTCATGGAAGGACCACTGAAGACCATCCTCTACGCTGACGACATCGCACTTTGATAGCGGATAACATAGAGGAATTAATTCAAGGTGCATAAATGGCAGAAAATCCTGGCAGCAGGCCGATCGTAGACGGCCATGGTGAGACCATCGAAAGAGTGGAGGACTTCCGCTACCTTGGGAGCGATCTGGCAGCTGATGGCAGTGTGGATCAGGCGGTGAAGGCTCGGGTCAACGCTGCATGGATGAAATGGAGGGAGTCCACTGGAATCCTCTGCGATCGAAGGTGCTCCAGAGCGCTCAAAGGGAAGGTGTACCGGACAGTGGTAAGGCCTGCGATGCTCTAGACGCAGCGAGTGCTGGCCTAACAAACTTCAGCAAGCGCACACGCTTCACTCCGAGCCGAAATGAGGTGCTAGATGCCCCCCCCCGCCCTGCGCTGCCGGCTGGGCAAGTTAGAAACTAGATGTGAACGGAGTGAATCCTTGCAACCCCACACTTAATTCCTAGCAAGTTCTATACCTCCGCCTCGATTTCATTCAATACCAAGTTTGACTGGGCGAGGGGAGGGAAGTCCTACACCAATGTTTTTCCAACTTATCCCTATCTAATAGAATCGCTAACAATAGCCAAGTTTGTGACGTAGCAACAGGCAAAAAAAGCATCGAGGCTATTGCCTAACCCATTCGCGACCGCGCCGATTTGCGCATCAGCAGGAGAGTCAGGAGATTTTTCTTCAATAAAATTTGAGTGGAATGAGATTCCCGTGCCCAAGTCTGGCATAGATGAATGAGGGTGCAAAGATTCTTTTCAGGAAAGAAAACTTTCCAAATTCCATTTGAAACACGGCAGCCACCGGTGGATACCATTGTACAAGTGAGATCTTTGTCAGCCACCGGTGGCCTGCCATGTCAGCAGATGGGTGGCTGTTAAAAGGAATCTTCCACGGAAAAAGCTCCGCCTCCATTACCACAGAAAAACGATACCCTTAGGCCCTAGCCTCATGAGCATAGCAAAAAGAACGGAACATAAGCGTTAGTTTCGATAATACTAATCCTACACACAAGACAAAATGATCACTCTTTCCGTGGAAGATTCCTTTAAGGTATCGTTTTCTGTGGTAATGAGGGCGGAGCTTTTCCGTGGAAGATTTTAATTGAATCATGGGGTTATATCCCACAAAGGAACTGCATCCTTGTTTGCCAAATCCAGTATTTTTTAACAAACAACAAAATTGTAAGAGCTAAGTTCTTTCTCTTTTACTCTTCCTAAGAAAGTGGAAGGAACTTTGTGGAAACTGTTGGAATGTTCATCACTTTCTAAATTGTTTCTAGTGCGCTGTTGAGGAAATAAATTGAGAGAGCGGTAAGAAACTCTCGTTTTGTGAAGTGCCGATCTGCCTTGTCGTCTTTTTACACATAAAATATTTATAGAAACGGCATAAATGTGTTACATGCAGAGAAATGACAACAAAGATTACGACAAAGATTCATAAGCATTACATATAGGAGAGAAAGGAATGTGACTTCTAAGCGAAGTGGTCGATGGCGCTCACGTGCGGTTTCCGATGACGATGGCCAGCAGGAGCGTCACGGTACTGCCCGGAGGTATCGCCCTGAATTGTCTTCAGTTGAAAGTGGAGGCGCCGTATAAAAGGGAGAAATGCACCTGACTCCAAACACGCTCTCTACCAACTCTTCGTCCGTTACTGAGCAGCGGACTAGAACACAACACACATCACAACCTGCAAGCCACCTGCAGAACTAAAGACCTACATTCCTCCCGCATCTAACACCTACAGCAATCACCGGGAAGAACGCCTTTACGTCAGTTCCGTTTTAATCAAATAGAGCCTAAGTCTAATACGACTCGTTTACTCCCAGGGATAGTCTTGGTACCGACAGTAGGTGACTCAAACATCGACAATATCCTAGGAACCCTATACCGCTCTCGCAGTCACCAAGCTAGTATATTCCCAATTTTGAACTGAAACCAAGAGCGTAGCGCATCCTAGTGCAACAAACCCTGATCATTTCTTCGAGCGATTTGTTGTAAAGGGCGAGGAACTCCTCCTTGATCAGTTGCAGATCGACTTCCGAGCGAGTGACGAGCACGCGGATCAGGTCGTTGTCACGAGTTCCGAGGCCCTTCAAAAATTTGGCAAAAATTTCGTGAATCCAGGGCACTTATGAAACAAAGGGAACACGGTCTTACCTTCATCGAGTTGTACAACTGGGTTGCGAAGAACTTCTGCTTGTCAGAGGCTGCTCGCACAATGGTCAGGTAACTCTTCTGGAGGATCACCGCTGAACTCCTTTTCAATCAGCTTCTCGATCGACGACCCAGACAGCTCAGCAAATGCAGCGAATATCTTAAATAAATAGCCGTTTTGGGTTGTTAATTAGTACAGGTCCGTGCTATGCCATACTTTTCTCAGTTGGTACTGGTTCTGTGAGGCCATGATGTTCAAAAAGTGCGACGGGGTATCCTTGCCGCTGAGCTTTCCCTTGCCATCAGCATATAGGCGGATAGCGTCCTGAAATAATTTGACTTGCTAACGAGAATCCGAAAGGGTCATCAAACACCTTACGTCTTTCGCCATTTGGTCGTTGGTGTTGCTGCTGGGATCTCGGCTTCCAGTGACGATAGCGCAGAGCAGATCTCTGAATTCACCGGATGTCTCGGAGGCAACCTGCAATGGCGTGGTAAATGATTCTATCCCTGTCAAGATTGAAACTATTATATAACAGCTCCAGGCGCTCATGTCCTTAGGGGGCATTTAGGTGATGAGCCAGTTTCAGCGCTTGAGACTAACAATATGCCTTCGGAATGATGCGAACATTTTTGTTCTCCCTGGCGTTTACCCCTTTCCTGGACTGGCCCAGTGTTACCTCATCGTGGTTTTCAAAGGTTCCTTTTGAATGTTCCCCACTCAAGGCGATGAGCGCTCAACTCCAAAGTAAGAAGTTCACCGTTCTCATAGCATACTGTGATAGAATCGAAACGCAAGCATTGGGGTTTCCCCTTCTGAATTGACCCTAAAGGAGACGCTGCTCCTCAGTGCTTGTGGTCATAAACGAGTGGGAGGTCCATCTTTTTCATTCATACTGAAGCGGTAAGCTGTGTTCACATGTTCCACTGAGGACCTCGGCTCTCCCTCTCATTCAGCACATAGCTTTTATTATTCGAAACTGCCCCTTCCAGCAGAAAAATGAGCTGTATTGAATGGAACAATAAACTAAAGCTTTGC